CCCCGCCCAGAACATATCTAGCCGCTCGGCCACCCTCTCACGCACGGTTCTGGCACTGTCCTCCGCGTCGCGGCGCAACTCCCCGAACAGGAGCCGGTGGAAGCAGAGAAGAAGACGCCAGCCCTGCAAGGAGTCCTCGTCGCCGATGCTCCACATGATGTGGCCAGCAACTGCCCCACGCGCTTCGTTCACCGCGTGCGTGAAGGCCGTTGGCACCTCAGTGAGCGTGCCGCACTGGTCGGTCAGAAGGGCTTCGGTGGACAAAGCGGCCGTGCCTGTCCCCCACAGTCAATGTTCTGCAGGCCCCTGTAATTGACGTCCCGCTCGTGCAAAGGCAGGCGCGCCTGGACTGCATCTCCAGCGTCTGGCGGCGGCAGCTGGGGGAGCCCTGGCGCGGGTGGCGGCGCCGCTGGTTCGCACCTCTCCGCGAGCTCCTGCTGCTGCGCTGGCGGTAGGGCGCCCCGCCTCTTCACGTCCGCCCTCGGCCCCAAGCACTGTCCGTAACACCCAGGGGGGACGAATTTGGGGCGCCGGGGGTTGTTGGCGCGGGAGAGCCGCAACTTGTCGAACTCGAGCGTGCCGTGGCAAATGTGGCACTTGCCGCGGTGCCCCCCCGGGCGCCCTGCACGCTCGCCCTCCAAGCAGCCATCAGCGGTGCGCGGGCCTCCGCGGGATCACAATGGCGGCGGCGGCGACGACATGACCAGCACGCGGCGGGGCAGGCGCCGGCCGGAGGGAACGGCCGGCCAGCCGAGGGGGGGGGCGAGGGGGGCGCTGGCACCTGAAGAACTCTTGAGCCTCCTCCTCCTCCTCCTCTTCCTCCTCCTCTTCCTCCTCCTCCTCCTCCTCCTCCCGTATCGTCCTCCGCATCCTCTCCCTCAAAAGCTGCCCCGTCGAACTCTCCCCCCACTCTCGCCTTCTATCTCTCTCGCTTTGTTTTTTTTCTCTCTCTCTCTCTCTCTTTCTCTCTCTCTCTCTCTCTCCCTCTCCCTCATTCCTCTCGATGCGCCAAATGTATGAGACGACACCTGTGGGATTAGACGAAAACGTCCAGGGACCTTCCGTCGTGAGGAGGCGGGGGCGAGAAAATGAAGGGTGGAGAGAGAATGGAGAATGAAAGAGGATGGAGGATGAGGGTGGATACAACATGGAAGATGGAGCGTGGAGGATTTGTCAACGGGTCCTCAGGGAAACCCTGGTGCCTTTGCCCAAAACCAGCCCGTTCCTAGACCTCCGATGTGCAACTTTTTCATAACATCGATCCCCAAAGGTCTCGGTCCCTTCCCCAGGGCCGGCTTTTCATCCTGAGTCGTTTGCGACGGTCCAGAGGCCCTGTCAGGACCCCCAGAGGCTGAGATTGGAGAGAACCCTCCCGTCGTGATCTTCAAGACTCCAGGGGGTCTGGGCTTGCCTCATGGCGAAAAGGACGCAGGATCCCCGAATACCTCCGACCGAACAACCAATGGCCGCTTGGGGGGGGCGCGGTACGCTGTCCTGAGGGGCAACGATGGAGGAGGACTGGCCAAGGGGGGGTAACATCGACCTGCGATACATCGCCGATTGATCGGCGTCTGGCCTCTGATAGGGAATCCGCACGTCCCTGGGCGGGGTGGAGCTATCAGACCCACATCTTTTCTTTTTGGTTTCTATTTTTTCGGCGTGGGGCCATTGCTCGTTTGGTTTTCCCCTATGGTCGAAGATTTCGCTACCCCGCGCGGGGTAATGAGAGAAAGCGACAGCAACATAAATGATGCAGGGATGAGCAGCAGCACAAGCATGCGCCGGAAAAATTGGCCCAACTGTCATCGCAACGTGAGCCTCTGGAAGTCTCCTCACAGCAACCATGAACAGAGAGCCGGTGTCGATATGAATACCGGGAACGAACCATTGACCCCAATCTCGTCGCAGCATAAGCCTCTGGGAGTATCCTCAATGCATGGGCGATTGGGGGTCGATGCGTCCCCCCCTCAGCCTATTCCCCTCCCTATCGTTGCCCCTGATGTCTGGGCGCCCCCCGTGCGTCGCCGGCCCGCCGCGGCGGGTGCCCGGGCTGAGCCCCCAGCAGGCCCAGGCCAAGCCTCTGGCATGAGACGGGCAGCTCCTGTCCCCGCGCCAGGGGCCCCACCGCAGACGTGGCCGCGTCGTGGGCATGGGGCACGACGGGAAGCTTTCTTCGGGGGCGTCCTGGAGGGGGGGCGTCAAAGAGGGGGGGGGTTCGCGAGTCATGGCCCGAGGCTTGTGCGCGGCCGCGGCACAGGGGCCCCGGTCATGATGTTTATCATGGCCCTGGTCATGATGTTCCCCCCACCCCCCGTCGCGTCGTGAAGCAATGGAGCGCAGAAGGGCATAATCATACTGATACTGTACGCGCCCATTGGAGGCGCCCGTCCGACCCGAACATATAGCACAACCATCATACAGCATATCGCTACCCAGGCGGTATGGCAAGAAAGCCCGCTGCCGAGGATAGACCTGCACAGACTGTAACCTTTCTCAGCGCGCGCGCATCGCCCCTGGGGGGAGACGCACACGTAGGACAAGTACGTTTGGGCAACGCAAATAAAATCTCACGACGGGAGGATATTGGCCGTTTTCGGGCTCTGGGGGCCCTCGCTGGGCCCCAGGACAGGACCGTCAACAAGACGGCTCGGGATACAGAGCCGGCCCTGGGGAAGGGGTCGAGACTTCAAGGGGAGCCCGTGCTGAGAAACTCAGGGCATCGCATGTCTGGGCCTCGCCTCTGGGGTCTTCCTCTCCTGCCTCCATCCCTTCGGATGCGCCGAAGACGGGGGCCAGGAAGAGGGAGAGTTATATCGCATCATGGCCCCAGGCACGTGCGCGGGCGAAGGCGGGGCCAGCGGACGTGCTGAGAGAAGAAGGGCGGGCCATGAAATCTGGCAGGTGCCGTGGCTCTGGCCATGGGATCCACTCCCCCTTTGTCATCACACCCCTCTTGGACGCCCCCTCCTCCCCATGGCCTCCCAGGAGGGCCCAGAAATACAGCACCAGCACCTTTGAGTTGAAGCTTCAGTCGATGTTTCGAGCGGCCCAGATGTAAGCCTGTGTAAATTCAGAAACAACATTTCTACCACTCTGGAGGTCCCGACCCTACTGGCCAGAACCTCCTGCAGAGTAGTTTTGTTGACGGTCCCAGGTCCCCGTGTGGGCCCTCAGGCCTCCTCCTCCTCCTCCTCCTCCTCCTCCCTCCTCCCCCTCTCCTCCTCCCTTCTCCCCCCCCCCTCCCGCCACCCCCCCCGGGCGGCGGGACCCCTCGGGAGGGAGGCATCTTAGCAATCATGACTTGCATCTTGCTGTTCCGCGTTGGAATGGACAGATGTTTGTTTTCAGGCAGTTCTTCACAACCGAGATGAAGAGATAACCATGGCACCAGGGAGAGCTCGGGGACGTTCGTCATCAGTAGGGATGCGTCTAAATAGTCTCCAATGGGGCGTTCCCGAATCCCCCCTCCCTTGGGGGGGGGAGAACTTGGGGATTGGAAGCAAGGATATTACGCCTGCGAGTCAAAACCACCCCTCTTCTGATCCTGTCCTGAAGCGCATCGTGACCAAGATTCCACGGCGGATCTTGCCGTGGTGACGAGGACCTCTCCCGGAGACCAAAGCGGCAGCACACATAACGTCTTTCCCGCCTCCTCCTCCTCCTCCTCCTCCTCCTCCTCCTCCTCCTCCTCCCCACTCCACTCCCCCCTCCACACCCATCTCCCCCTCCTGCTCCATTTCCTCATCATTCTCCTCGTGAAACCTCTTCCTCCAACTCCTCCCGCTCCTCCACCTCCTGCTCCTCCTCCTGATCTTCCCTCCCCTCTCTCCATTCCCTTATCATCGTAGATAACTCCGCCCTGACACACCCCCAGACGCGTCGGTAGAGCGGACTGGACGTTTCGCGTGAGACTTCCTCACCATGTGTAATCCTGAGGCCTGAATTTCAAGCAACTGCAAAGATGGAGGGTGGTCTCTTTCCAAACGGAACTATCGCCTTAACGCGGCACGCATTCGTCGTAAATGCCTACACCAGTTGCAAAGATGGAGCGCCAGTGGATTCAAAATGAGGTTCTCGCCTCTGCTCCACACATGTGTTAAGAAAACCTTGCAGCTACAAGGATGGAGGGGGGGTCGTTTACAAAATTGAGCTCGCGCCCAAGCTCCACGCCCACTCGTCTTGAAACCCTGCGATGATTACATGACTGGGGCACAAACGATTCTCAAAATGGTGTTGTCGACTTCGTACCGCGCACATTCGCGTTACGTGAAGATTGCAACGTTTACAGTGGTGCAGGGCGACTCCTTTTCAAAATTGCGGCCTCCTTTGAGCTCCGCACAATTTCGTCTTACAAAAGTTCAACAGTGGGTGGAGAGGAAGGTATTCAGAAGTGGTTCTCGCTTATGACTTCGATACCTTACTGGCACAATCGAATCAGATGTCACATGTCCGGCACTGTCTCGAAGCTCGTGGCAAGACTTGCACATTTGCGTACCAGTGGCACGGATGGGAGGCGGCCCGTCCCTTTCCAAAACGAGGGCATCGCTGAGCACCTTGTTGAACTGTATAATGCATGGTTTAAACGTATATCTTTCTTGGCTACGCGCAAGAGGGGTGCAAGGCGATCCCTTTGCAAACTAGGGCTCGCGCCTGAATAACAGGCCCAAGGGGTGCTGGTCTTGTAAAGGGGAGTGTTTCTTGTGCCGAGCAGGCAGGCTCGTCGGCACACGACGCGAGGAAAGAACGCAGGACGGGAACGCGTGTTGCAACATCGCTGATGCATCTCGGGCTTCTAGCCGGAAACTCTTACTCAGCGTGTAGTGCGACGGCCCCAGCGACACGCTACGCCTTGCAAGCGGATAGCGTGTCTCTCCGCTTGCGGGGCGGAAAGCTCGGAATTGCTGGGGACGTTGACGCTTGGGGACTGGGACGTGGATAGCGTGCCGCGCCGAAGAGCGGTGGGCCACAACCAGCGAAGCGACACGCTCAGCCAAAGCTCCTGGCCGTACTCTGATCCTCCTCCTCTTCTTCCTCCTCCTCCTCTTCTACGGACCTCGGGCACGTCCTTGGATGCAACCTGACGGAATTTCGGAACGGATCCAGCCGCGACGACGAGGACCGCCCCCAGAGGCCACCAAAAGAGGGAAAACGCAACAAGCACATAGAAGTTCGAAGCGTGAACCTTCTCCTCCTCCTTCTCCCTCTCCTCCTCCTCCTCCTCCTCCTCCTCCTCCTCCTCCTCAGCCTCCTCCTCCTCCTCCGCCTCCTCCTCCACCCCTCCTCATCCTCCTCCTCGTCTTCCTCCTCCTCCTCCTCCTCTTACTCCTCCTCCTTCTCCTCCTCCTCCTCCTCCTCCTCCTCCTCCTCCTCCTATCCATGGACCTCGAGCCCGTCCTGGGATGCGTTCAGAAGAAAACTTCGAGGCGGATACAGCCGTGGCGACGAGGAGCTCACCAGAGGTCCCAAGAGAGCGGAAGTCCGAAGTGTAAACTTCCTCCCCCTACTCTTCCCTCATCCTCCTGCTCCGTCCCCTCCAGACCTCCGACGTCGTGTTTTTGTTCGCAGCTTGGACCCAATGTCTGGGCGACTTTCACAGGACTGGCGTTTCATCCTCAGTCGCTGGTTTTGACGGCCCCACGACCCTGTGAAGGCCTACGAATGCCAAACATGGCGAGACACATTCCTTCAATACTTTTGTCACGACGCGAGGAGGTAGAGGCCATTGCGAACACCGCACGACCCCCCTCTTGATTCACGGGTCATGCAGGAAAGGGCTCCTGCAATAGTTTTGCCGTTTCGGCACCCCTGGGGCCCTCCAAGGCCCCCGGGGACCTCCAAAAGACTAATCAGGATGCAGAACTGGCCCTGGGGAAATCCTGGGGTCCAAGACGCCCCTTGCCGTCAGGGCCCCTTTTCCGTAGCCCGCAGTGGCGACGCTGGCGCCCGCCCAACTTCTGCCGAGCATCCGCCAGCAAGGCCGCCCTCGTTCTGCTTCACGCCAGCATCCGCCGGCACGTGACCGAATTTTCGACGCCGAAACAATCTCTCAGAAGCCTTGATCGGCTGGGTGATACAGGTGTCGTGCGGCAGAGTTCAAGCCGAAAACTGAACAAGACCTCCCGCACTGTTTTTCCCAACTGTCCTCTTGTGTTGGGTCCTCGTGTTGAAGAGACAGTGCCTCGCGCCCTCCTTTTCCTTCTCCTCTGTCCTTCCTTCCTTCCTGCCTCCTCCTCCTCCCTCCTCCCATCCCTGCCCCTGCCTTTCGCATGCCCATGCCAGCACACTCCTCACACGCTGCGTGGCCCCGTAGCGAGCTCCACCGACGGCCCCAGCGGGTAGCTCCTGGCGCACCCATCACACGCTTCGCGACCCCATATGGAGCTCCAGCGATGGTTCTAGGGAGTGGTGTCTTACAGCCCCTGGCGTCCATTTCGACACAACCCTCGCGCGCTGAGAGGCCCCAGGGTTCCCCCTCCTTCGTCCCACCTGCCTCGGGGCACTCACACTTGCATCTGGTTGGGTCCTTCGCTACTATGTTCAATGGATTATTGACTGCGTGGAGCTCCCCATATGTGCACCTATTCGCATGGACCTGTCCGCCGTGAATATCTGGGCGCAAGAGCTTTCGAGTATAAACGGGCTTTAGTTGCAACGGTCTGGTCATGAATCAAACTGCGAATGAATTAGAGTGTGAATGAGCCTCACTAGTACAAGCGCGTCTCTGCGCGTGAGCCTGGGGCCTCCTGGGGCCTCCTGAAACATACTGGGGCTTCCTGGGGCCTCCAGGAGCCTCTTGGGGCCTCCTGGGGCCTCCTGGGACCTCCTAGGGAGGATTCGTGCCCCAGGAGAGGCCCAATATATTTCAACAGACGTACATAAAAGTATCCCGGCAAAGCAACCTAACAGCGATGTGTAGGAGCATATCTGGAAGCATTCCCCTTAAGATTCAGATGAGAATCCTGTTGTAGAATTCTGCTGTTCTCGCAGTCGTAGTCGCATTCGCGATGGCAGTCGCAGTGGCAACGGCAGTCGCAGTCACAGCCTCAGCCTCAGCCTCAGCCTCAGCCTGCCTCAGCCTCAGCCTGCCTCAGCCTCAGCCTCAGCCTCAGCCTCAGCCAGCCTGCCTCAGCCTCAGCCTCAGCAGCCTCAGCCTCAGTCTGCCTTCAGCCTCGGCCTCAGCCTGCCTCAGCCTCACCCTGCATCAGCTCAGCCTCCTCAGCCTGCTTCAGCATCAGCCTGCCTCAGCCTCAGCCTCAGCCTGCCTCTGCCTCAGCCTCAGCCTGCTTCAGCCTCAGCCTCAGTCTGCCGTCGGCCTCGGCCTCAGCCTCAGCCTGCCTCAGCCTCAGCCTGCATCAGCCTCAGCCTCAGCCTCAGCCTGCCTCAGCATCAGCCTGCCTCAGCCTCAGCCTCAGCCTGCCTCAGCCTCAGCCTCAGCCTGCTTCAGCCTCAGCCTCAGTCTGCCTTCAGCCTCGGCCTCAGCCTCAGCCTGCCTCAGCCTCAGCCTGCAGCCTCAGCCTCAGCCTCAGCCTGCCTCAGCCTCAGCCTCAGCCTGCCTCAGCCTCAGCCCAGCCTGCTTCAGCCTCAGCCTCAGTCAGCCTCGGCCTCAGCCTCAGCCTGCTTCAGCCTCAGCCTCAGCATCAGCCTGCCTCCTCAGCCTCAGCCTGCCTCAGCCTCAGCCTCAGCCTGCTTCAGCCTCAGCCTCAGTCTGCCTGCCTCGGCCTCAGCCTCAGCCTGCCTCAGCCTCAGCCTGCAGCCTCAGCCTCAGCCTCTGCCTCAGCCTCAGCCTGCCTCAGCCTCAGCCTGCTTCAGCCTCAGCCTCAGTCTGCCTTCAGCCTCGGCCTCAGCCTCAGCCTGCCTCAGCCTCAGCCTGCATCAGCCTCAGCCTCAGCCTCAGCCTGCCTCAGCATCAGCCTGCCTCAGCCTCAGCCTCAGCCTGCCTCAGCCTCAGCCTCAGCCTGCTTCAGCCTCAGCCTCAGTCTGCCTTCAGCCTCGGCCTCAGCCTCAGCCTGCCTCAGCCTCAGCCTGCCTCAGCCTCAGCCTCAGCCTCAGCCTGCCTCAGCCTCAGCCTGCCTCAGCCTCAGCCTCAGCCTGCCTCAGCCTCAGCCTCAGCCTGCTTCAGCCTCAGCCTCAGTCTGCCTTCAGCCTCGGCCTCAGCCTCAGCCTGCCTCAGCCTCAGCCTGCATCAGCCTCAGCCTCAGCCTCAGCCTGCCTCAGCATCAGCCTGCCTCAGCCTCAGCCTCAGCCTCAGCCTCAGCCTTCAGCCTCAGCCTCAGTCTGCCTTCAGCCTCGGCCTCATCCTCAGCGTGCCTCAGCCTCAGCCTGCATCAGCCTCAGCCTCAGCCTGCCTCAGCATCAGCCTGCCTCAGCCTCAGCCTCAGCCTGCCTCAGCCTCAGCCTCAGCCTGCTTGAGCCTCAGCCTCAGTCTGCCTTCAGCCTCGGCCTCAGCCTCAGCCTGCCTCAGCCTCAGCCTGCCTCAGCCTCAGCATCAGCCTGCCTCAGCTTTCAAAATGTGGCCCGGGAGTGGAGTTATGGGAACTCGAACACCACGAAGTGGCCTACAGTTGGCTCCGGGCATTCAAAATCATGCCCAGGAAAAAAATTCTGGGAACTCGAACGCCACGGAGTGGCCTACAGTTGGCTCCGGGTATTCAAAATGTGGCCCGGGAATGGAGTTCTGGGAACTCGGAGAACACGAAATGGCCTACAGTTGGCTCCGGGCATTCAAAATGTGGCCCGGGAATGGAGTTCTGGGAACTCGAAGACCACGAAGTGGCCTACAGTTGGTTCTGGGCATGCAGAATGTGGCCCGGGAATGGAGTTCTGGGACCTCGAAGACCACGAAGTGTAACTGGTGGTTTAAAAACAAATCCCGGCACCCTCCCTCAGATCGCTCCCCGACCCTCCATGGGGCGTCATGATGCCTCTTTTGTCCCTACTAGAAACCTATCAGTCTTCGCTGTTCGGTAACATTGCGGATGGGAGCCACAGGAGAAGGGCATTCTATAGGAACAGGCGTAAAACACCAAGGACTCGTGCCACAGGAGAAGCCCAACATATAAGAACATAAGTAAAAACATTTAGGAGTGTGTACACAGGAGAAGGATAATCTATAGAAGCAGACGTATAACATCAAGGATTCGTGCTCTTTGTTTTAATGGTCGGCGCGGCGCACGCAGCATGCACCGTTAGCTGGAGGGTACGGCTAACGGCAACCACTCATCTTGAGCGGCCCACGAGGACCAGCAAAAACGGTCGCTCATCGTTGCCGCGCGCCGCGCACCTCGAGGGAAAACGCCGCCAGCTGAGGCGACCACGCGAGCCACCAACCAGCCCGTGCCGAGCCCGAACAGACCAAGACCACCGAAGGCACTCCCCTACGCTCGTAAGCCGAGCGGCCGCCAGAAGGAGGCGAGAAAGGGCAGACGCCCGAGGGTACGCGCCGTCAGCTGAGGCGACCGCACAAGTCACCAGCCAGCCCGTGCCGAGCCCAAACAGGCCCAGGCCACCGAAGGCACTCACCCCCTTCTCGTGCGCAGAGCGGCCGCGACAGCTCGAGGAGTGTCGCCGCGGCAAGAGGGCTGAAGAGCAGGCCGATCCAATTCGCACAGCGCGCATCTGCTGAGGGCGCCTGCAGCAGGGCAGCAGCACGCAGAGGAGGACCCGCTCAGGTGGGTTGGCGCCGCTGCCGCTCCTTGCTCGCCCACGCCCGCCACGGGGACCCTGGGCCGAACTGGGGGCGGAGCCACTGGCGGCCAGCGGCAGCCTCTGAGGCCGAGGGCACCGGAGGGTCGACCTCGCCGCCGTCGCACTGCCAGCCCGGGGTTCGGATGTCGCGGTCGACCGTGAGGGCCACGGTCCCCGCGAAGACGCGGCGGCGCAGCGCCAGGAGCCGCTCGGGCCCGCGCGCGGGCGCCTCCGTGGCAAAAGCGCCGTCCACGCTGCCAGCGCCGTCAGCGCCGTCGGCCCCCTCGCCGTCCCCGCCGATCTCCATCCCGATGCCGCCGTCGCCGACGAAGCGGGGAGAGGCCGAAGACAGGTTGGGAGAGCGACCCAGGCCCTGGTCACGACGGCCATCCTCCTGCATGCCCAGCTCGCCGCACGAGCCACCAATAGCAACCTCGCTGCGCCCGCAGAGGAGGGCAGCGTCGTTGGCCAGCAGGTAAGCCGCGACGATACTGGGGTCCACGCCGCCAGGAGGAGAGGAAGTGCAAGCCGTGCCGCACGCCGTGCCAGGACGAGGAAGAAGAGGATAAGGAACCCCATGTGCCGCAGGCCGAGGAGCAGGTAGGACCACGCTAAGCGAGCCGCCGTAGCCGCGGTCCCCGTGCGTCTCCACAACGGTAACCTCCACATCCTCGGCGCCAGCGTGCCACCACCGCGCCCCTGAAGCCAAAGGGGCCGCGGAGGGCTAGCGTGCACTGCGCAAGCGCTCGGCGAGCGCGAGGAGAGCGCCAGCGGGCAGGCTGCGCCCGCGCCTGCGGGCCACGCCCCACCCCGTCGACACGCCTTCGGACGCCGAGCGCCGGGCAGGCACACGGCGGTGAAGATGGCCTGCACCAGCAGAACGGAGAGGAGGAAGAGCAGCGCGCCCGCGACCAGCAGCGCCATGCCCGTGCCGAAGCTGTCCTCCTTGGCGGTCCCGCCGCGCTCGCTGAGCAGACCTCTGCAGGCGATTGAAGGAAGCCTGCCGCATCGCCGAGATGCTTGCTGCCCTCCTCTCGGCGCAGTGGAGGCCAGCGTTGTGCCGAGAGCGGGTCAGCGTAGCCGCCTCGACCGCCCTACGACGAGCTCCGCCCCGCTGCCCACCTGCCAGAGCACCTCGCGAGCCATCGCTAGTCCCAGCGAAACCGCCGTCTGGGGAGGGCGTGGCTGCACTGGCGTCTCGAGCTGGGCCAGTTGCCAGAACGTCCAGGACGACGGGGGCAGCGAGCGCCAGCCTGGACGCGAGCTCGGTTTTCAGCGCGTCGTCAGACGCGGAGCCGAGGTCCCCGATCGCCTCGGCCAGCCGCACGGCCTGGGCGGCGGGCTCGCGATGGCACCGCTGGGCCTCCGCGAGCTCCGCCTCCAAGACGGCAGCGGCGGGCGAGCGCGGCCTCGAGACGACCGAGGGTGGCCGCGCGCCCCGCCTGCTGCCTGCGCCGCGCCGCCGCGCGCAGCACCGCCGCAGGCGAACGGTCGACCTGCTGCGCCAGTCTCCCCGCAGAGGGCGAAGCCTCCGCGCCCAAACCAGCGACCGCAACCATCGCCCAAGCTGCCGAACTCTGCTGCCACCCGCGGGGCCGGTCGAGAGAGAACAGCATAGGAACGACTTGAGCCAAAATGACTACGGGAGGATCCGTGCTCCAGGTGAGGCCAAATCTGTAGGAGCATACTAAAACATGTGGGATTGGAGCCACTCCTGTTGCCTTCTGAGGCCTCCTGCTCCTGGGGCCTCTCGGGGCCTTCTGTTGCCTTCCGAGGCCTCCCGGCGCTTCCTGTGGCCTCCTGGGGCCTCCTGCGGCTTCCTGAAGCCTCCTGGAGCTTCCTGGGGCCTCCTGGAGCCTCTTGGGACATCCTGTGGCCTATTGAATCTTTCTGTGGCCTCAAGATGCCTCCTGGGACCTCATGTGGTCTCCTGGGGCCTGCTGGAGCCTCTTGGAGCCTCCTGTTGCATCCTGGGGGGAATATGCGCCCACGAGTTTCGCCACCAAAACAAGCAAACCGACCGAAACATCCTCAACATCTGGCCCACCTGGGGGGTGAAAATGAGCGCCTCGCTCGAGACATCCTCCAAATCTGCTCCGAAAACAAAGGATGTTGGGACAGAAAACAAGCAAAACGCTTGAAACATCCCCACACAACGGCCGCGAACGGGACCGTGCAACACCCCTCGACGGCTCCCCTTAGGGGGGCTGACACCAGCGCCCCGCCTGAGACAATCTCACAATCTGCTCCGAAAGCGAAGGATGTTGGGAGAGAAAATAAGCAAACCGCTTGAGACCCCACAAAACGGCCGCGAACAATACCGTGCAACACCCCTCGACAGCTCCCCTTAAGGGGGGCTGACACCAGCGCCCCGCCTGAGACATCCTCACAATCTGCTGTGTGTTGAGTAAGTCAGACAATGAGAAGGTCTGAGTATGAGTAAGTCTGGGAATGAGTGAGTCTCAGCATGAGTAAGTCTGAGTATGAATAGGTCTGAGTATGAGTAGGTCTGAGTATGAATAAGGAAAGATGATCACGTCTGCGTATGAGTAAGTATGCGTATGAATACGTCTGGGTATGAGGAGGAGGAGGAGGAGGAGGAGAAGGACGCGTGGGAGGCGCCCAAGTAATACAAAACACATCTTAGGATATAGAAGCAAAAACCCAATCGGAAAAAACAAATCCCCATACATCCCCCTGGACAAGTCGGACCCCCCCTCCAATATTGGTATATGGTTACGCTGTCTCTCAGAGCGGCCTTCAAGGAAGCGGCGGGATTGGCAAAGCCGATTCACTATCTCGCTGGGCAACGTTTTCAGACAAGATGCAGACTTGTTCCAGCCACATGCGAAGGTATATGTCACGAAGCGCTTCGCGTGCTGTGGCACGCGCAAATCTGACGCCTGAAAAAGACTCCCCCCATGCATGAGAGGACGTTTGCCCAGCTCCCAGGGCGGCAGGCGGGGATAGGGAGACGAACAGAAAAAAAAGTAGCTGCGGACGCGACCTGGCAGGGGTCACGAGTGTCCGAAGGCCTCCCCTCCTGTGGAAACCGCGTACTAACTCACCTTCACACTGTCTCTCAGAGCGGCCTTCAAGGAAGCGGCGGGATTGGCAAAGCCGATTCACTATCTCGCTGAGCAACGTTTTCAGACAAAATGAAGAATTGTTCCAGCCACATGCGAAGGCATATGTCACGAAGCGCTTCGCGTGCTGTGGCACGCGCAAATCTGACATCTGAAAAAGACTCCCGTACCCATATGATGCCCAGGGTGGCGGCGGGGATGCGGTCGGCAAAGTTAACGATACTGGCGAAAGGCACCCTTGAGTAGGTCTGGCAGCTTGCGGCCAGCGGCAATTGCCTCTCGCCTCTGGCGTGCTGTCATTTTGTGCAACTGTCGGAGGAGCGTGGCGTGTTTTTCGTACCGCCTGACTGAGGCAGGGCACTTCCATTTTCCACGGCCCTGAATCTGCTGGAGGCTGAGAGCCTTGAGGTAGGCGTCCGTAGAGGGGCCAGTGCGGCGAAAACAGTGCGGAACGATCCTGAGGCTCTGCAACTCCAGCGCCTCACATGCGTCTTTGACGGCCTTCTCGTAAGACGGCAGGGTGAGGTGTCTGAAAATACGCTCGCCTTCGCGAGCAGCTGTGCAAGAAAGCGGCCACATCTTCGACGAAGGCACGGTCGAGGGTCGAGGATGCCAATTATCAAGGTGTCGTGTTGCTCGCCCGACTTCGTTTTGCCAGCTCTCGTGCTAGGGGCCAACGCCAGGCCCCAGTCCACATAGCGTGAGCCACGCTGCAGAAGCGGTGGCAACATATCCTCTTTCTTGATGTCCAGCAAGGCGCCTGGTCGCACGTAGATGTCCACTTGAATTACCACCGCCAGGGAACACCAGAAGTAGAAAGCCTGATTCTTGAGCAGCATCCACTGCGCGATCAGCCAGGCGGCCTCGGTCGGACAAGGGTCCCCGGATGCGACATGGCATCCGCCGTATCCAGCCTCTAAGCGCTGCTTTTGCTCTGGGTAGCACATGGCCGCCTCGGCCGAGGTGCGAGAGGTGCAGCAGCGCGTAGCCGTGCAGGGTCCACCTGCCCAGCTGAGGCTGCTCCCGTTGAGCGAACAGCCAATCGAAGTAGTCCGACATCGCAGAGTCGGCCGCCTCTGGCGTCCGGAGGCCGAGGCCCCTGCCAGCTGCCCAGGCTCTGAACTCCGCGACCTCGGCCTCGTAGGTGCGCAGGGTGCTGGGCCCGACGCTGCGCTCCACCAGGTTGCGGGGCTGCGGAGCGGGCCCGTGTCGAACAGCTGGGGGACGGGCGAGTCGTTGTCGCCTGCCTTCGGGTCGCTGCCTGGGCGCGAGCAGTGGCCCGCCACTGCTGACCGACGTAAGCGATGAGCCGGCCTGGGACGAGATCGAAGGTTTCGCCGACTTGAGGGGCCGACTGCCACTCGTCAAAGCCCCTTCGTTGACGACGTCGGAGCTCGGGTGAGATCGCCTGTTGGAGACTGGCCAGGATCTGGCCATGTTGGAGGAACTTGACTAAATACTGCCTGACACCAGGGTCGAGGAGGTCGCACTCGGGGCCCTTGGAGATCTCGAGGCCTTCCCCACGCGGAACACCAACTGAGGCCACAGCTCGAGTGAGCCCCTCTTGGCCTGCAAGGAGCTCGAGGAAAATAGCGCCACGTCTTACCCGCAGAGCACGACTGAGGTCATAGCGTTCGCTGCGCCTATTTCCCAAGAGAGGGCCCGAAGGGGCCGACGTACGAGGAGGAATCCTTGAGGCCCCAGTAGGAGGCCCACTAGGAGCCCCACGAGGTGCCGAAAACGAAGAAGAGGGCCTGGTCGTAGCAGCCCTGGTAGCGCCCGCAGAACAGGGCCCCGTAGTGGCTCTCGCAGAGGTACTCGTAGGGGAGGCCCTTGAGGTCGCGGAGCTCGCAGGAGCAGGAGCACCGGCAGCCGCGCGGGGAGCAGGCGAGGGTGACGGAGGTGCCTGAGGTCTCTTTCTCGGGCGGTCAGTCGCCCAGACAGTCTCGGCGTCGCGGCTGCCTCGCAGCTGACGGGCAAGGGCACTCGAGGCGCCAGGGCGCGGCACGAACTATGACCATCTCATGGCCGCCACGCTCCAAGCCGAGGTTGGTGGCCTTGAGCGTCGGGTCGCTCCCGGAATCAAAACGCCGAGAGCCAGCGCCAGTCGGATTCCGGACCCCCCCCAGATGACGAGTCGCCCATTGGATGCCGCAACCGATCTGCAAGGCGGCAGCGCGTTGACCAAGGTAGCGACACCCCCAGTTCGTCTTCTCCGCGCCTCGCCCGCGCCCACGATCAAAGGCGCAACAGGCGACCAGACTGTCGGAGAGAGAAAGGAGCCGCTTCCCATGGCAACGGGGATTGCGGCATG